TCAACCCCCCCAAACAAGCAGGCAGCAGGGAAGCAGCTGCCCCATGCCAAAAACCCCCCAGCACAGCTCGGCGGGGGCCCTGACGGCCCCTCCCCGCCCTAGCGTCAGGCTGGGGCCCCTGACTCAGCTCACCACATGCTCCCCGCCCGTCCCAGCTGTCCTACAAACAGCTTCCCGGGCCCAGACAAACCTGTTCTGGGGAGCGAGGAACCCACAGAGGAGCCAGGGCAGCTGGGGACTGGAGCCCCAGAGCACGTCAGCACGACCCTCCCATAGGACACGTGCTAGGAGTAGTTGGGAGCACCCACCCCCACGCTCCTGCCCCGCTGCCCAGTGCCCTCTGCAGGGATGGGCAGAGGAACCTGGAGCCTTCACCTACAGCCCACGCTCCTGCCCTGTTCCTCCCAGTCCCTGCCAGGTGCTGAGATGGGGGGGGGCAGCTGGGAGCTCCTGCCCCATGTCCCACCATACCCCCTGCTGGGGGAGACTGGACTGGAACAGGGGCAGCTGGGAGCTCCCCGGCATCCAGCTATGATCGAGAGGAGACACTGCTCTCCGCTCCCCCTGCTGCTAAGGCCGGGGTCAGAAAGCCTTCGGGCCCCTCCACACGCAGAGTAGGCCTGGCTGCCCAGGCACCCAAACAAACAGGGGCTGCCTGTAACCCGATGCTCTGGCCTCAGCATTCCCGGTGGAGGCAGCCAGGCCCTGGCCAAGTGCCCCCAGCCCAGCCCAGCCCAGCCCTACACACCCCAGGGAGCCTGGAGGGGACCCAGTGGGCAACATCAGCAGGGGGGACAGGCTCAAATCCTACCCCCCAACAGCGCAGGGGGTGTGGGCAGGGAAGCTCCCTGCCCCGAAACCCCCCCAGCATTAGAGCCTGGCACCTGCTGCGGGCCAGGGGCTCTGGGAAATGCTGGGTTGGTGCCACCTGCCTGGGGCAGGCAAAGGGCACAGTGGGGGGGCTGTACAACCACACCAGCCCACGCATCCAACATTGCCCCCCCACCCCACAAGCCTCAGATTGAGCCCCTGAATTCCTTGCAGCCGGGAGGAACATGGCAGAGGACGGCACGAAGATGCCCAAGCTGTGAGAGCCAGCCACCAGCCAAGCAGCCCACAGGGTCACTGAAAAGAGCCCCTGGCCAAGGACAGTGTGCCACCCAGCCAGGCGTTTACACCCCATCACAGCAGCTGGGAGCAGGAAG